AGCTCATTGAAGTTCTCTTTGCCTGAACCCCTTCTTTCTCCAGTGACTTGTAAACCAGAAACTATGGTGGAGGATGTCTGTACTTTGTATCAGTGATCCTTCTGTCCTTTCCAGCAATGTGTTTCCTGGTCTTACATAACCTTGGCTAACACTGCAGAGAAGATTCTTGTAATGTTTCCCTGGAGAAGGCTCTGTTGCCTACAATGAGGAAAATTCTTAATGGCCACTTTACTCAATACTTGCAATATGTTTTAATGTGATTACTGATATGAAAGTTTAATAAGCAATATCCTGGTTAATTTATTAATTTCCCTCTATTCACGCATCCTCAATATTCATGACCTTCCTATTCATAGACATGTTTTTTTTTTTTCCCCAGAGCCCAGGTGCCATGCCACATTTTCTGTATCTTGGGCTGCATAATGGCAGTGTCCAAGTGACACCTCCTGCTTGGCTGGCTGATAATTAAAATGCCAGATGACATAGGAGCAAGGGCTTTAGAAATATTTATGTGTGATAAATTGTTAATTTATGTTCCATTCAAGGCAGATTCCATATGATAAACATTTACTCATCTTGATAATTGGTGGGCAATGGAGTGATGTGTGTGCATATGAGTTAGGCTGTCCATTTTCTTGTTATATATATTTTTGCCCTTTGATGATTTTTAGCTAACTAAAGCCATTTTCACATTTATGACTACAGAACTTACATCACAGGTTTTAAGTCTCTGCATACAGTACAAAGTACATAAATAACCCAAATGGAAAAGACTGGACAAAACAATTCAGCTCTTCTTGCATATGCTCATTAGCCACTTGTTACTGAAAATGTCTTGAGGTAAAAACAGTGTGCTTTGGGGACCATAACTTCTCAGATGAGAGTTTAAGCAAATAATTTGGAACAATGTTCTAATTCTCTGGAGGCAATACATAAAGGTGGCGCTGGCCACTGTGTTGGTGGGAGACTTTGTGTGCAATTAGGCAGCTGAATGAGCGGCAGCCATGTATTCCACCAGGCACTTAACACACAAGGCTGTATCTCTTGCACTTTAACAACATGCTGACAAGCAGCCACTCTCAAGGGTGCTCTATGTTTTCTTTAAAGATGGATGGATTTTCCTAGAAGGTTGTCTAGCATGTAACAAATGTCAGGGAAGGATCTGTGCAGTTTCAAAATGAAAGCAAAAGTAAATTCAAGAGAGGCTGGAGAGATGGCTCAATAGTTCAGAGCACTGGCTGCTCTGGCAGAGGACTCGGGTTCAGTTCCTAGCACCCACACAGTGGCTAACAACCATCTGTCACTCCAGTTCCAGGAGATCCGACGCCCTCTGCTGACCTCCGCGGGCATTGCACTTACATGCAGGCAATACACTCATACACATAAAATAAAAATAGTAATAAAAATGTAAACACAAACAAAACTACTATGATTTTGAATGATGTTTTTATTTTTTATAATATTGTTGGGGAACACACAAACATAATTTTAAGGTATGGTGCACTAAAACAATAGTTTTGTTACATCACTATTTTAAATGTAGAAATCTTTGTTACAAATACACTGTGACTTGTGAAAACAATTCATGGAGGAAAAGTGAGTTAAACTTGCCTGTGAGATATTTTGAGTTATGATCATAGTGAATGTATGCCATGCCGACCCTAAACTCCTTTATTGCCATACTGAAGTTAACTACCAGAGAGAAAGGAGAGGGGAGGGGAGAGGGAAGAAAACCAGCTCATCCTTCTATGGATCATTTATCATTAAAGAAAGCTCAGGAAGTTCAATCTTAGTGTTTTAATGATTTTGGAAGTTGGAAGAAATTAAACATCCACTCTTGCTTTTCTTTATATTAACATACAGGTTTAAAAAGAATCTTTGAAGCAAATCCATTATGGATCTTTCAGGTTGCTCAGTGAAGTGGAAAGCAGGACAACTTAAGGCACAACTTTATTTCAGAAAGAGAATCAGTTCATAGATTGAATAATTCTTTCCTGGAAAACAAGCATCTCACTTGTTGCTTCTAAAAGCATGATTCAAAATCTGGATTTCTTCTAATCATTTTACCAGCAGGGTGTTTTTACACACACCACCTACCTTGTTCTGTCTTTGAGCTCATATGTGCATGCCCAATCACAAGTACACACCTATGCACACACATACTAACTTCTCTTACAGCTTTGTTGTGTAGCATATTTTGTTCTTATTCACGTTCTGACCTCCCCGTATGGAGGGAGCATACATATGCACGCACACACTATGTGTGCACATTGTACTCCTTAGCCATGTTTGTATGCATTTCTCCTAAGTGTTAGGAGTCCTCCAATCATGGTGGCACAGGCCTGTAATGCCAGTGCTCTGGAAGCAGAGGCAGGCAGATCTCTGAGTTCAAGGCCAGCCAACACAGCAAGTTCTAGACCAGCCGGCTACAATAGTGAGACCTTGTCTCAAAAAAACAAAACAAACAAATAAACAAAAAACAAGGGCTGGAGAGATGTCTCAGCAGATAAGAGCACTAGCTGTTCTTGCAGAGGAGCTGCGTTCAATTTCCAGCACCCACATGGCAGCTAACAACTGTCCATAACTCCAGTTCCAGGGGATCTGACACCTTCTTCTAACCTCCTTGGGCATTGCATGCCATGGGTCCACTTACACACATCCAGGCAATATACTCATACTAATACAATAAAAATAATAATTTAAAAAAATCAAAACAAAGTACATGGTCCCTAGTTGCACAGCTATCAGATGGCATACCATTGGTAGCTTCCCTACAATGTAACTGTTTAATGGACTTGATTGATTCATTTATTTGTATGTGCATGCACATGTAATGGCACACATATAGAGGTCAGAGGACAGCTTGTAGGAGTCAATTCTCACCTTGTACCATATAAGTTTCATGGATTGAACTCAGGTGATCAGGCGTGGTCACAAGTGCCCTTACCCAGTGGGCCATCTTGCCTGCACTTATGTGATGTTTTGAATGATGATTAATTACTTGGAATGCTGATAACTGTGTGATGCACATTCTTATAAGTGGCATTTACTACACTGCGTGACAATGGGAACTTCAGGGTGACTGAGGGGCATCCTCAAAGGGCCCAAGTGCCTACTGTCTCCTAGGCACTGTGCTAGGAGCTGGGAAGCAACGGGAAAAGATGCTGACTCACTGTGACTCTCACCCTCAAGAGTCCCACAGTTTAGAGTGGAGAACTGCCATTCAGGTACACAAGCAGACCATGGATTACTTTGGGGGCCTGTGATCTATTGTGAAGGGAAGGGTGGTAATGGTGGTAGCAGCACCTAGTAAGAAAGAACCTGTGAGAGCTGGACAAGGTGAGGCTAGTGAGTGAAAGGGTCTCAGTGAAGGTGACTTATTCTGAGGCATGAAGAAGAAATAGGTACCGTTCAGGTAGTGAAAGTGGAGAGGCTGGTTGGTTTTCTTGGTAGAGAGAAAAGCCTGTGCTGAGGAGATGATGTGGAATGTTGGAAAAGAAACTAAAATATGTCAATATGGCTGAGATGTAGAGCGTGTGTGCATGAGCACACACAGCCATATGTATCCAGGCTTCCATGCATGCATGTTTGAGGGAGGGATTTTTATATGACCAAGTGAGTGCCAGAAATACATGGGTTGAATGTCATGACTGCACATCTGGCCTTCCTATTTTCGTGTGATGTTTGCCACATACTTGAAACTCCCTCCTTATCCCTCGGAGTCCCAATGACCAATACACTTGCAGGAAGCCAGTGTTGTGTTATCTAAATTATATTAAAATGTCCATCTTCCCCTGCAGATTTCTGGCCAGACAGAGATTGTTTCTTCTCTTTGAGTATACTGCCCTTTCATCTATGAGCCATGTCAGTTGCCTTTACATTAATTTCCCTCAGTGGAAACATCTTTGGCACCAGTAGCACTTTACCACAGTTCATGGAAGTAGCTTTTCATGATTTGAGGTTACCCCATCTGTTCTAAGATACAGGATTAGCATCTTAGCTTTTCCTGGGGGATCAGCCCTAAACTCTGAAAAGGGCTATTAGCTGAGAATATGAAGTGTTGCCTCTGTGTGGCAAACCAGTAAAGGAGCTGTGTCTGCCCAGGACTGTAGTGCTCTGACTTGGGTCTTCTTTATGATAGTCATGGCACCATCTATGTGAATTTTGTGCCATTAAAGCACATGAAAACACTAATTTCCTATTTAAAGCTTGCTATTTGAATGAGTCACACTTTTAGAAAGTATCCGAACCTGTCATGGCCTTCTGTCCACAGCACAGCCAGTGCATGTTCTGACTGCTCACTGAATGTGACTATGTTTTCATTACTTCAACGGTGGGATTAGAGCTTCCCAATAAGGGTGTCTCGCAGAAAGGTGGGGTGCCCTGTGGTAAATGTGCAAGGATAACTGTTGTATGAAGACTGGGAAGTTGTCAGAGGGTTGATACAGATTATAGCCATTTATTACCCCACCTTCCCCTGCCCCCCCCATCTATATTGAAATCAGTGACCGGTCACACAGAAATTCAGCCAAACTTTTTTTTTAATCGATGTAAATATCCCATGCTGTTTAAATGTCGGAACTAAATTTACCAAACTTGGCAGATTTGTAAAGCTAAGCAGGACTGCCAAGAGTTCCCAGTTTCAAGCAGAGAGAGTTCTAACAGTTCCTGAAATACTTGTAGGAGGCACCTGGTGGTAATTGCAGTTTCACATTTCTTCCCGAGCGCCTACCTTGCTAGCTGGCATCTCTGCACACAGAGGATTATTACAGTGATGATGAAGTGGCAGAATAGAATGGTCCTAAAATAAGACACTGCCCCTGGAAGGGAGCACATTCCCACAAATTCTTTCTGTTGGAGAACCCTAAGGAATCAGACATGTTCCTGACATCCTTGCAAGCTGGCTGTGCCAAACAAAGGGGGAAGTGGGGTGGAAGATAGAAACCACACACATAAATCTGCAGACATGACTTTGCCCATCTTTTCCCTCATTCTACCAGGGATTGCTGTCTGAGATTCTACGTAAAGAGGAAGACCCCAGGACGGCTTCCCAGTCTCTTTTAGTAAACCTGAGGGCCATGCAGAACTTCCTCAATCTGCCGGAAGTAGAGCGGGATCGCATTTACCAGGACGAGAGAGAGCGGAGCATGAACCCCAATGTGAGCATGGTCTCATCGGCCTCAAGCAGTCCCAGCTCCTCCCGAACCCCGCAGGTGAGCTGTCTATTTCACTCTTGGAAACCTCTTGCTTCACGTTTACATTGGTTTTCCTTGAAAACCAAGAGACATAAATCAAGGACTTCTTAATCAACCAAACAAGTCAAAGGATATAGCCTCTGGCCGTATCCTGTAGTAGTCACATACTGTATGTCTGTGATTCCTTTCCCTTTAAGTAAATCCCATTCCCTTGCATGTGGCAGGTGAAGGGGACTAGGTAGGAGTAGGGGGTAAGCCCTAGAATATCTGCATCCACTGTACAGTATTAGAAGAAAGAATGGGACAGGTGAGTGTGGAAGCTGAGTTTTTATAACAAACATGTACTTTCCTTAAGTTGCTTATTTCTTTGGATGGGGTGGAGTATTTGTGGAGCAAGACATAGAGTAGTTCAAATTCTTCTGTGTGCAATAAAAAAGATGACAAGATGGGAGACTGGAGAAATGGCTCAGCAGTTAAGAGTGATTGCTGCTCTTGCAGAGGATCTGAGTTCAGTTCCCAGCACCCACATTAGATGGCTCGCAACCAGTTACAACTCCAGGGGGATCTGATGCCTCTGGCCTCTGAGGAGCACATGCACATACCCACACGTAGACATACACATATACACTTCATTAAAAATGAAACTTAAAAAAAGAAAGGACAAAGTATGGAAGTCCTGTGTGTAATGAAAATAAGCAGATGCAGTGGCTTGTTCAGAGTGATTGACTCCCAGTGATGGGGAGCCTCAGTGACTCTCCTTCCCAGGATGATCTGGGTTTTGGTGACTTCAGTCCTTCTTCTCTATACACTTTTAAAGTGTTCTGTCCGCAGGCCTTCCTGCAGATGTCTACATCCAGGAGTGCAGTTGTACTCTGAAGTTCATAACTCCAGGGGCAAGGATTCAAGGTAGCCAAGGACCATTCCCAATTCAAATATAAGTCCCCTCTTTTCTCACCTCCTCCCTGTTTTGTCTAGATGTTTCCTACTCAATTGACTTATGATAAAGCTGGCCTATTCTCTCTTGCTTGAATGGGTCACATAAATTCTGAGTGATGTCCTTAAATCCAACATTTAACTGATACGTATGTGTGCAAAACTTAAAATAGTATTTCGGAACTAAAGATTCTTTTTATTCTTAGCAGTGTGCTTTCTGATAAATTCCAAGAAGCAGATTAACCATAGAATCAGAGCTTTATTCTGGTGGATATATTAGAGCTTTTGCAAGTATATCATTTTTTCACACATCTTGACTCTTTTTATATTTTTGTGCTCTGCAATAGATTTTTAATTGAATATCACTTTCTATTGTGCACTGCCAAACTGTGTTACTTAAACTTTAGTCTCTGGTAAATTATGAGTAGTACTTACTGCTAAATCAAAAAAAGTCTTCTGGGCTTACTTTGGACATATGTAACGAAGCCTTTTTATTTATTTTTCTTTAAAATTTGGGGACATATGTAACCAAACCTTTTTATTTATTTTTCTTTAAAATTTTCTTCAAAATTTTCTTTAAAATTTCTTTAAAATAGTGAACTGTTAAGTTAGGCAAGTTGTTAATTTGCACTAATATTCACTTCTAGTAAATACAGCAGTATTTTTGCCACTTTTGAAAGCTGTTCATTTTTGGAGAGCCCAGCTATATTTTGTACTTCGCATCCAGTTAACTAGACTTCTCTCCTGTTAGAGGGCCACTTCTGTTTGTTAGAAAACAACACAGGTCTGTTTGTTCTGTTTTCAGTGTCTTTGTAATATTTTCTAACCAAATTCTATCTTCAGCACCTTTCCAAAGACCTGATAGCTTCCAGAACCTGACCAACTTATAGGTCATAAGATTAGGGACAGATTTTACTTGTTTTGAACAGAATACCATCTTGAAAATTCCTAGATAAAGGTTCCCTTTAGGGACAAGTATGGTAAATTTAGCATTTAATTTCACTGCTTTACAATTTCTAGAAACATATGAAATAATCAAATGTATTTTGAGGATTATAATCTTACTACCACACTTGTGTGCTTTCTACCATTTCCTTCTTTATCTGTTGGCTAAAGATGGAGACAGGGCAAGTTATTCAAATCTTTCAAAATATTTCATGCATACCTGTGTACTTAAAATTCTTCAGACGTATCTCAATAATAAAAATGCGTTTTACAAAAAAATCCAGGCACAGTGGTATGTGCCTGTAGGAGGTAGAGGCAGGAGGATCAGAAGTTCAAGATTATCAGTTACGTAGCAAGTACAAGGCCAACCTGCACTACATGAAATAAAATAAAAAGTAAATAAAGATCCATTGTACTGAAGCTTTCGTCTGAGGACAGACATGAGGGGGATCCACAGACAGCCTTCATTTAGAGCCAGAAGCTCTGTACACTCAGGCAGTCTTACATAGATTATTTTCCAGACCTCATGAATACTTTATTAGCAGTTTAACAGTACATTGAAATTAAACCTCCAGAGTCTTTTCTCATAATTCTTCAATGAGCCAGTGTTCCTTGGTGTTCTTAATCACACACACACACACAAAAAAAATGACATAGGATGAGAACAGCCATATTCTTAGGACTCACTGGTGGCATAATAGGTACTGTGAGCTTTTGCCATGAATACCTTCATAGCTGTTTTGTAGTGGTATTCCCATCTTACCAACAAGCAAATAGGTTTACGTGGGTTAACCTGTGTAGCTCACATAAGTTCATATGACTGAATGGTAGGGTGAGGACTTGAATTTTATTTATTCTGATGCCAGACCTTGGAGACTTACCCATGTGCTGTAGTTACCATTTTGTTTTAGCCCTTGGGGTTTAAGAGATGATTTGACCAATTAGGTAAAAGGGGCTAGTGAAGAGAATAAAGACAGTGGAAAAATTCTAAAACATTCACTTAAGTAAAGCAGAGAGGGTTAACTAGAAATTTTGAGAAGAAAAAAGAGCTTCTTGAAAATAAAAATGAGAGGATTGAATTGTTGTAGGAAGGCCCTACACCACTGGGGGGAAGAGAATGCTTGCCAAAGCTGTCTTCCCCAATGTGGAAACAGGGTAGCAGGATGGTCCCCAGCCCAGGCTGTAGAGCCTGAATCACTGAGTTCAGGCCATAGTGCCTTCCCTTGTATGTCCTTAGGCAATTCAAGCCTCCCTGTCATTTCCACTCCTTCACCATATGCTGGTACATAACTCATTGGATTCTTAGGAGGGTTATACAAGAAAACGGGGATTAAAGCACTTCCTAGAGTACCTGGCACATAGGCCAAAGTCCATAAATTATACTCACTTTGGCTTGGCAGTAGTTACAAAAGAAGAGATGGGAGGGCAAAGAAGGGTGGCTCATGCCACTGTGGGCTCTCGGGAAGCCAAGTCTTCATGGGAACTTAGAGCAACAAGGCTGGCCTCTCTACATCCTCCCACATGACAGCTGGTCATGCCCAGACTAGATGGTGCCTTTCTCTAGACCTGCATAATACCAACCTAGGGGAGGGCAGTTCAGAGCATCCACAGAGAGACAGATGTGATTTGGAGACAACACTCTTATTTGGGAATTTTAGGGTGAGGACAAAAAGAAAAAAAGCAACGTAGACCCAGTTAGCCTTCAGTGCTCATGTTCCCATGGTCCCCAAGTTCTGCTGCAGGGTTTAAAGAAATCTGCTTGGACCCTCCTGGTGGGCACGTTAGTGCCCAGATTAAGCAAAGCCTCTCTAACAGTGTTCTAGACCAAGTCGATTCATGTGTTTTAGGGTTTTCCTACCCCAGGAAGCACAGACACCTTCTGCATTGTCCTTCATTTGTCTCTGAAGCTAATGGGAAATCATTCAATTAAAACGAGCACGGCAGAATGCATAAAACCACAATATGAGTTTAAGAAAATGAAAACTGCACATCAAAGGCATTCTGAAGCTGAGTTTTATGAAATGAAATTTTGTTTCATTTCCACTGATTTCCTAGGTGAAATTAGGTGACTGTCTGGGTGGTATAATGACGATAACGACGGAGCTGTACGTACTCAAATGACATACGTAAAGCCTTAATAAAGAATGAGAGAGACTCACGGGAGTGCACTAAATCGAGTAATAATTTATTATTTAGAGACCTCTACCCATTTACCCATTTTTTTTTTTCCTGGAAGACTTGGCTCTTCCTATAAGTGTGCCATTTTTACAAAGAAAATGGTGAATGTGTTGTGCATGTTTGCTCGTATTTTGATGCCCATCGTTGCCTACCTGTGAACCACCAGGATGCTGTGAGGGAAAGCATGGGTTGACAGGATTCTGCATGTCCTATAGGAATGCATCACAATTATTTCCAATCACAATTAACCTGATTAGAATAATGGACAGGAAGTGTCCCTCTGTAGCTAATGCAGTTTGGCATCAGCTGACTGAAATCCTCTGATAATTTCTGCACAGATGGCTGCACTGAATGCAGCACTTTTTAAATTATTATTTTCATGGTCTCTTGGTAGGCCAAAACCTCGACACCGACAACAGACCTCCCTATTAAGGTGGATGGCGCCAACGTCAACATCACAGCTGCCATTTATGATGAGATCCAACAGGAGATGAAAAGGGCCAAGGTGTCTCAAGCCTTGTTTGCCAAAGTGGCTGCAAATAAAAGTCAGGTGAGTGGTTTTCAAAGGAGCAAAATGGAGGACTGGAATTGGACCTTTCTCCTCTTCCCTCCAATAAACATACATCTGTTCTTATAATAATAATAACAGTAATAACCCCTGGGGAGCCAAGCATGTTCTGCCTTCTGCCCCATGGTTTGCTTCATCTCCCACCGGAGTTCAGAGTAGAGACAGTGCCAGAACCCAGCTTCGCTCTTTTGAAATATTACATATAAGAATTGGCATTGGATAATTTCTCCCTTTATCCTAAACACTGCTGCATACTCTTCTTAATTTTTTTTTTTTTCTGGAAGTGGTTAATTTTTTTTTATTTAAACAGAACTTAACCTGTGCATAACAAGCCCCTTCCTGGAGATCACATTTAACCAGGGCTCATCACCTTCTTATTCCCACCAGGAGAAGGGCTGACTTTGCTGTAATAACCACTTTTGCCCAGCCCCAGAGACGCCTTGTGATTGTCAGGTGTTTCGTTTATGTCTAGAATACAGTTGTTTTTCCAGGAGAAAGCACACATCGGGCTTCCAGAATAAGTGCTAAATTCTTTTAACAGAAAAACATAGATGCTTATCCAGTAAAAACGTTGAGTGTCAGGATTGTGGGACACACAATGCTCAGGGGAAACCAACACACAGGTGCTTGAGTTTATTTCTGAAAGCAGCAACAGTTGATGGGGTCTACTTTCTGTTTCAGTTCCTTTAAGGGGACAGCTACCACCCTGCCAGAAATCCTAGGTCTATTAAGGCCCTCCCTTCTGTATCCCTTAGGTAAACAATTAATACAAGGTGGAGGAAATGGAAGCTAGCTTCAGCATAATTTTGAAAGTCCTTTGATTTTTGAGCTTGATTACCTCTGTGCTTTGCATGACAAATGTTTTCATTCCTACATATGCAAATGGTCAAATGGTGCAGCATCTCCCTAACAGATCTGCAGTGTGCTGTGGAGAAAGCTTTACTAATATTGTATTTCTGTCCAGCAAGGATTTCAATAAAAACTGTCTTTAAATATGATACATGTTGTATTTAGATTAATTATATTGTTTAAGGTTCACCCTTTTTTTTTCACCTGCAGTGTTGCTATAACTTATATTTAGTTGTTACTAAAGAGAGAGAAGAGAAGAGTATCCAAGAACTTTGGAGAAGACTGAAATATTGATTTTCCTTTTCAGTTTCCCTGTAGTCATTTTTCTGAATGACTCTGACTTTCTTTACCAATGAAATTAGTGAACTAGTGTTTGCTAAGACATACCCAACCATAGTATGAAAATGTATGAAAAGAAAGTACCATAGAGCCTTCTTAAACTGTTAAATGCATAAAATCCCATGTACCACATGGCAAAATATAATGAGAGCTGGGGCTGTTAAATGAATAAAGCTGTTAAATGCATAATGCCACTTGGCAAAACTACTGTGCATTTAATGGTTTTCCACTGAGTAATAAAGGACATATGTGGTAAGTGTGCAGCGGGTGTAAAAGCTACACAATTGATTTTGCAAACCTGACCCTCAGTTGTGTCTTGACACAACTTTCAAAGTTTCACTTGCTCCTCCTTTTAGAATCATCTTTCAAGAAAAACTGAAGACCAGAGCCTGAGAGCTTGATTGAAGGGCTTGTATCTTATTGATTTGGCACCATGGCTGTTAGAATTAGCAAGGTCTCCAGCTGCCCCAAAGTCATTTAGGTGGCTGATTAAGAGAAGCAGTTGCCATTTGGCAGAGGTGGAAGTTTGATGCCTCCCAGAGAAATCAGTAGAGCTGATTTTGTAGAATCTGGAGGAAAGCAATTCCAGGAATACTCCAAAGGGTGAGATTGAACATAGGTAGGGATGAGACACTTGAAAGCTTCTCTTTTTCATCAGGAAAATGGTCCCATTTATTTGTGGACAGGGAATGGTACTGTAAATTGCTGACTGAATATGTACGTACATCAGGCATGATGTTTCTAAAACACAGGACTGCCAAATAAGATACGTTTACCTGATAGTTTCAAAGATAGTTTAACAAAAAGATGTTCACTCTACCTTGAAGCACCAGCATTCACCCAACAGCATAATTAGTGAACTCAATTGCTTGATTTGGTACCTTGTACACATATTTAATGCATGATCATAATGTGTGTCTGACTTTGAGCTAGACTTTTGCCAATCAAGATGTACATACATTTCATTGGGTTGTGGGGTGTGAGAAAACAAAGCTTTTTTTCTCACCTCCTTGTTACCTTCTCTCCTGTTATTTTCCTCTGGAGGATCAAGAAGTTCTTAGGGTAACTGAGGAGGTAAATGTATCTCAAGGACTCTCCATTCTCATGGAGATCAAATTAGTGTAACCTTTAATTAGGAGCTCTTGAGAAGTAGAGGAGGTTAGGAGCTCCCAAAGGCCCAGTTTAGATATGGACAGCAACCTCCCTTTTCACTAGAAATTCCCTCTAAAATAGAAATGAGCCCTCCATTAAACTCATTCACTCTTTGGTGTGAATTGCTATGGTCAGTTATTAAAAATAATACTGAACACTGCCTTATGTTAGGGAAGTTTGGAATAAGGAGTGGGAAACAGCAAGTGTTAGAAAGATTGAGGGTGGTAGGCCAAGTTGATCTTGAAGACTGTGTTAAAGAGCAGACACAGTGGAAGGGAGACATCCCCAAAAAGAGTGAATGGTTGACAAATCCACATGGAAATCTATTGATGGGAAGTGTATGTGTTTCCTTAGGGGTGAGTAGCCTTAGGTTGTATCATAGCTAGACCAGGAAGACCCTCCACCAGTGAGTGCTCTTAGGTGACTTCTATCTAATCTCATGGGAGAGAATTCAAAGTAGAATAGGTTAAGAAGGAAAGGCCTGAGTGTTCATAATCACCTGTGCCCCTCCTCCATTTTCAGCTGAGGATCAGTTTGGTTGCTAGGCTGCCTTTATAGCCAGTGACCTCTGTGAAAAAGGAATGAGAAGTCCTTAGAAATCCAAATGTAAAGGTAGGGTAGGACATCACGTCACTCCAGAAGACCACAGGGGCTGAGTGCCCAACATGCTCTGTAGTAGACACAGGTACTCCTTTCCTGTCCCCAGGGCCACCATTCTCTTTCTAGTCCTCATACCTTGGTTTTATGGAGCTGTTTTCCCTACTTTCTTCCCAGTTGCTTCTTATTGCCTGTAATCTTTTAAATGAAATCCAGAGGAGAGAAAGCAGTCAGTCACCTGTTTTCTCTTCCCCTGGGGTCCACCAGGGATGGCCAGGTGCTCTGTGGCAGTATCTTCAGCCACATTTAAATTGAACCAGTTGTCTTCTTGCCCAGACACTAACTCAGTGTTGTATTCTCATAATCTACTGTCTCCCCTGTTTTACAGTATGTAGTACAGCTCATAGAATGCGGAACATCAGATGGGGTTGAGTTCTTTTTGTGAGATGTGTGAATCTTTATTATTTGTGTATGTGAGCACCCAAATTTCCTACTCGGTTTGGGTAAAGAGAGAGATGAGAACAGGCTTAATTTAATCCTCATTTACCCATATCCTCCATTAAATAAATAAACCAATTAACAAAAACTTCAGAAGGGCACTACACTTTCTGTATCAGAGAAGCTGAGACACAATTTCTGATAGTGTGGATGAACCTAGACAATGGTAATTAAAGGGCCAGTCTCAGAGACTGCTGGGATAAAGCAAAGGAAGGGGGTGATGAGGAAACAAACAAAGACTCAGAGGGTATTGGTAAGATGCCACTGGTAAGATGTCCTCTCCACCCAGGTGTGAAGACTCCCAAGGGTCCTGGAATGGTCTCCCTGACACCCATACCTTCCCAGGCCTGGGAGTTGTAACCAGAGTGAAGGTGGGAGGGTCTTTTCCCCAGTTCAAGAGGGGGGAGGAGGAAGGCTTGAGAGGTTCTTCTCCCTGTGCAAGAGCAGAATAGGCCAGTGGGCGAGCACCTTGTAACTAAAGGAGAGTGGTTTCTGGCCTCAGTGAAAAGCTCTACCATCTCATTCCCATGAAAACTCTGTTCTATGTGACTGTGACTGGGTTGCAGTGTGTTGTGTGTCTCATATTCCCTGGGATTGAGTAGATTTTGTTCACTAAGCTCTATGCCTTATTACTACATTTCCACAAACATTGTGTATTCTGAGTTCTCAACTACTGACTTAACAAACTGCAGTTTGATTTGTCCTAGTTTCTTGTCTTACATTTGGGTCTTTCTCCCAATTTGAGTTGATTTTTATGGATGACTAAAGAGTCTAATTTCATTCTTTGGAATGTGGGAATACAATTTTCTTAGAATCATTTTTAATGATTGATTGATTGACTAGCAAGGTCTCAATATGTAGCTGGCCTTAAACTCTTGGTCTTCTTGCCTCAGCTTCCCAAATTCCTGGCTACCATTTCCTCCTGTTTCCTCTTGGTGTCCTGGTTGAAAATTAGTTGACTATGTATGTTTGGATTTATTTCTGAGCCTTTTATTATTTCCCATCAGTCCATATGTTTGTATTTATGCAAACACCATACAGTTTTGACTACCGTGGTTTTACAATATTGATTGTTTGATTGAGTGCTGGAGCTCAAACCCAGAGCCTTATTTGTGATACAGAGTGCTCTATCACTGATTTATACCCTCAGCTCCTGTAATGGAATTTGAAAGCAGGAAGTATGATGCCTCTGACTTTTTCTTTCTCAGTATTGATTTGGCTTTTTAGGGATTTGTATGGGTCCTTATGAATTTTAGGATTTGTTTCTCTAGTTCTGTGAAGAATATCAATGGAATTTATTTGTTTGGTTTCTGGTGCTAGGGATTGCACTGGAGTAGGGATTACATGAAACATGTCTATTGCTTTGAGTAATGTAGACATTTAAAAACTATATAATAATTCATTTAATAAAGGCAAGATTTTCATGTGGGCAGAAAACTTATACAATATAAAAATATTGTTTTTAGTTTCATTATTGTAGTTTCTTAGCTTTTAGAAAATACTACATGAGATCAACTGTTTCCACTGTGTGTACACTAAAGAAGGAT